AGTCCTGTCCCTCAGTGTCCTCTGACAGCAGGACCCTTCAGTCCTGTCCCTCAGTGTCCTCTGACAGCAGGACTCTTCAGTCCTGTCCCTCAGTGTCTTCTGACAGCAGGACTCTTCAGTCCTGTCTAGATGGTTCAGTTTTTGTTGGACCAGTTGGATGGTGGTCTTCAAGGGAACCAGGAAGGTGAAGAACTGAACTTCCTGCTTGGTCTTTGCTCCTCTACAGTCCTCGTCCGTCCTCATCTGAAGGTTCTGACACCAGGTCCAAAGGTCCTGCTGAGGCAGTAGGTCCAACAGAACCCCGGTTCTGGTTCTGTTAGAGGGTTTTGGTACAAAGTGTGACGTGAGTTGAATGTTTTTGTGAGTTGATTTGAGGATCAGGTCTTTGTTCGATCCTCCTCCTCCTGCAGAGCGTTGGTGTGAGCGCTATGGAGACCTGCAGGGGAAGCTGCTGTGTGTGGAGCTGGACAAGGAGCGACAGGGTTTGGGTCTCAGCCTGGCGGGAAACAGGGACCGGTCTCGCCTCAGCATCTTTGTTGTGGGGCTCCATCCTGGGGGGCCGGCGGCTCGCGACGGACGCATCCGTGTGGGAGACGAGCTGCTGGAGGTGAGTAAGTGTTTGAGTCCACTCCTGGGTTTGCTTCTGGATTCGTTAACATCCTTTCTTCACCATCAGATCAACAATCAGATCCTTTATGGGCGGAGCCACCAGAACGCCTCAGCCATCATAAAGAGCTCCGCCTCCAAGGTGAAACTCATCCTGCTCAGGTAAAACTGCAAAGAAAAATGAGCCTGTTGATGTGTTTGTAAACAAAAACCTGCAGCCTGTCATCAACTCTTCTTTTATGGCTTCAGCTTCAGGGTGGGTGGTTCTGAGTGGCTTAGACCTGGTGGAACAAGGGTTAGGTTAGGGTCAGCTTCCTGTTTGTCTCATCAGCTACTTCCTGTTTCTCATCAGCTACTTCCTGTTTCTCATCAGCTACTTCCTGTTTGTCTCATCTGCTACTTCCTGTTTGTCTCATCATCAGCTACTTCCTGTTTCTCATCTGCTACTTCCTGTTTGTCTCATCTGCTACTTCCTGTTTGTCTCATCATCAGCTACTTCCTGTTTGTCATCATCAGCTACTTCCTGTTTGTCTCATCTGCTACTTCATGTTTGTCTCATCATCAGCTACTTCCTGTTTGTCTTATCATCTGCTACTTCCTCTTTGTCTCATCATCATCTGCTACTTCCTCTTTGTCTCATCATCATCTGCTACTTCCTCTTTGTCTCATCATCATCTGCTACTTCCTCTTTGTCTCATCATCATCTGCTACTTCCTCTTTGTCTCATCATCATCTGCTACTTCCTGTTTGTCTCATCTGCTACTTCCTGTTTGTCTCATCATCATCCGCTACTTCCTGTTTGTCTCATCATCATCCGCTACTTCCTGTTTGTCTCATCATCATCCACTACTTCCTGTTTGTCTCATCATCATCCACTACTTCCTGTTTGTCTCATCATCATCTGCTACTTCCTGTTTGTCTCATCATCATCTGCTACTTCCTGTTTGTCTCATCAGCTACTTCCTGTTTGTCTCATCAGCTACTTCCTGTTTGTCTCTGCAGAAATGAAGATGCTATAAACCAGATGGCTGTGCCCCCACTAACCAGCCCCCCTCCTCCTGGTCCCACTCTGAGCCCCCTCAGCCTGGAGGTAAGCTCACACAGAATCTACACTTGTGGTTTTCTGCAGAACTTAACCTGAAAACCCAAAGTGAGCAGACAGAGGACTTCAGGATGTTTTTGTTTTAATCATTTTTGTGAGTTCTGTTAATCTGTCAGCTTTAAAGCTTTCAGCCTCAGAGGACCGCCCCGTCCTCTCAACGGCTCGTTTAAATAATCCTGTAAACTCTGTCTGTGTGAGTCAGTGTGTGTCTCCAGCTCTGCCTGCTGGCTCCGCCCCATCAGACAGGCCCCACCCCCCKGACAGTCTGAGGCTCCACCCCTTGTCAGATGCTCCGGTCAGTGAGCAGCTAAAACTGAACCCAGAACGGTTTCTGACCAGTGGGTCCAGACTCAGAGCTGATCTGTGTTTTGTCCCACAGGACGAGGCCACGAGCGAKGAAGACCGACAAAACGATGGYYCCGCCCACAGACTRACAGAGGCCGACGCCCACAGACTGACAGAGGCCGACGCCCACAGACTGACAGAGGCCGACGCCCCGAGACAGGTAGAACACCTTCAGATTACAGGGATCCTGGTCAGAACCAGAACCAGAACCTGACCTGATCTGACCTGAACCAGAACCTGATGATGATGATGATGGAGTTCTGATACTCCAGGAACCTGGTTCTGACAGAACCGGGTCAGGGTGGCTCCTCCTTGACCCTTTCTGCTCTTGTTTTTCTTCTTCAGCCTCTGAAGGCTGCAGAGTCTCCTGAAGCTGAGCCGCAGGCTCCCAGGGCTCCGCTGGAGCTTCAGGTAAAGACAGAAGCACCTGGWGATCCCAGTTTCTGTTTGTCTGCTTCTGTCTGTACATATGATCTGTTCTGGTTCTGTGTCCAGTCCTGCAGGTCCATCAACTCCAGACCCACGGCGGCATCTCCTCCTCTGATCAGTCCTGATGTTCACGCTCCTAACAGAGGTACAGGCTCAGGTCCAAACGGGTCGGGTCCAGGCTGGTTTGAAACTGAACTGATGTTTCTGCTCCGGTGCTGAGACGGTTTACTGGTGGAGCTCAGTCGGGTTCATGAGAGCAGCTGCCAGTGGCCGGGAAACCACTCCTTCACAAACCATAGTCATCTAAAACCAACCTGTGTGTGTGTGTGTGTGTGTGTGTGTGTGTGTGTGTGTGTGTGTGTGTG